CTGGCTACGGCCATGCCTTTAAAGGGATAGTTCACTTTGAAATTAATTTTTGGTATGTTTTAGCTTACCTCAAGGGCATCCAAGATGTAGGTGTCTTTGTTTCCGCAGTAGTTTCAATTTTGATATTTTTAGGTCAAACCGTTCTTGTCTGTCAGTCATATAATGCAGGTCTATGGTCACCACCTCAAGTCCAAATTAAACATGATTTAATGACTCGTAAATGTAATTACACATTGATGGCCTAAGACACGAAACGAGCGGTTTGTGTGAGAAAACGAACAGTATTTATATCGTTTTTACCTCTTGTAACCACAGCCACGTCCAAGTGATCTGAGGGCGTGGGCGCTTCGGTCTTTTCCGGCAAGCCCCGGGAGTGATCGCTCGCGCGTGTACGTCACTCATACAATTGTTTTATTTTTTTTCTTTTTTTTCTTTTTTTCTTTTATGACGGTTTAAACAGTCCGGATAAGCGCAAATTAGTACCATTTTAATTAGCCGTCTTACCTACAATCTCTGCTCTGTGTAAACAATGAGTGACGTACACGTGCGAGAGATCACTTCCGGCGCTTTTCGGAAAAGACCGAAGCGCCGGCGCCCTCAGATCACTTGGACGTGGCTGTGTTTACAAGAGGTAAAAACAATATAAATACTGTTCGTTTTCTCACACAAACCGCTCGTTTCGTGTCTTAGGCCATCAATGTGTACTTACATTTACGAGTCATTAAATCATGTTTAATTTGGACTTCTCTGTGCTGCTCTTTGAGGTGGACCCCATAGACCTGCATTATATGACTGACACACAAGAACGGTTTGACCTAAAAATATCAAAATTGAAACTACTGCGGAAACAAAGACACCTACATCTTGGATGCTCTTGAGGTAAGCTAAAACATACCAAAAATAATTTCAAAGTGAACTATCCCTTTAACTACATGAATTCGTCTTGTCACTATTTCAGCCACAGATAACCGTCTTATAGAGCTAACTCATCAACTGAGCATGCAATAGCCATAGCTCTCCATAATGCGCTGTGCCATTTGGAACATCAGGAGAGCTATGTGAGGATGTTTTTCATTGATTATAGCTCAGCCTTCAGTACTATCATACCGGACATTCTCTTCTGCAAACTCACAGACCTGGGCTTTCCCTCACTCACTTGCAATTGGATCAGGAATTTCCTGACGGATCGCCCTCAGACTGTTAAACTCGGTCCTCACTTCTCTTCCACCCGCACGCTCAGCACTGGCTCCCCTCAAGGGTGCGTGCTGAGCCCAATTCTGTACTCTCTTTATACGTATGACTGCCGCCCAGTCCATCACCAGAATAACATCATCAAATTCGCAGACGATACTACAGTGGTGGGACTAATTTCAAAGGAGGATGAGGCTGCCTACAGAAATGAGATCATGAGATTGTCAGAGTGGTGTTTAGCCAATAACTTGACACTAAATACCACCAAAACAAAGGAAATCATCCTCGATTTTAGAAGGCACAGGGCAGACCCCGCTCCCCTTTACATCAATGGAGACTGTGTAGAGAGGGTTCAAACATTCAAATTCCTAGGTACAACCATCTTAGCAGACCTCCAATAGTCAGCCAACACCACAGCAATCATCAAGAAGGCACAGCAGCGCCTTCACTTCATGAGAGTGTTAAAGAGGAACAATCTAAAGAAGAACCTTCTATCGCTCTGCAGTGGAGAGCCAGCTGACATACCATATTTCAGTATGGTACTGTTGCTGTACTGAGGCAGAGAGGAAGGGAATACAGCGGACTATTAACACCGCGCAGAGGATCATTGGATGCCCTCTTCCCTCCCTGAAGGACCTTTACAATTCCCATTGCCTCAGCAGAGCCCAGAACATCGAAAAAGTTCACTCTCATCCTGGTTCCCGTCTGTTTAACCTGTTGCCCTCTGGTAGGCGGTACAGATGTTTTAAGTCAAGGACAAAAAGACTCAAGGACAGCTTTTTTCCCAGAGCTATAATTACACTAAATACACATATGCAGTGAACATTTCGTATGTACTGACCTCTTACCCAGCACAATATGCGTAAATATTTTAATACATCTTTTTGTACTATGTATTTTATGTATCTATATTTACTTATCTAATTTATTTTTATTTATTTAGCTTTTTTATGTACCATGCACCTTATGCAGAAGCTCCGCAATTTCGTTGTATCTTGTGTACAATGACAATAAAGTAAAGTATTTCTTTTAAAGTCAATTACACAGTCAGAGATCAATCTCATGAGAGATTTTCATATTTTCCATATTTTCTATTCTAATATCTCTATATTAATATCTCTATTCTATTGTTTCTCTTCTATTAAAGTGAATTCCATGTGAAGAGATCAATCTCACCGGAGTCCAGCTGTGTGTCCATGAAGAGTGATCGGTCTATGAACACATTAGTGACATTAAAGGGAAAACACACATCAACTGATCTGAGGTACAATATTTTAATTTGGACAGATAATAATCATGACAAATCAGTTTAACCACTTCCTTCCACTTGAAAAAAATCTCTCAAAAATATCTTTGTCAATTTCTTTTTTTTTTTTTTTTTTAAACGTTGCTGGGGTTTTTATGGAAATATGTTGTATTGATCCTGCACCAGTTGGAGGGAATTTGGATGTGTGTCTTTTCTTCCTCTTTTTTTAGACAGACAGTTTTCATTTCATCTCTCAAACCCTGAGTATTTGTTTACATCCATGCTTTGGACCACTTATACCAACTCACTGTAGTCACACTAGCCACATGAATAAATTACTTTTAAAATAATAAAGTTTTTATTTATTTTGCTATCACTTTCACATCTATAATTCATGTTGTAATACATTATTTTAATCTTTCAGTCATGACTCTCAACTGGTCCAAAACAGATTCAAATCAAATCTGCTGCAGAAGTTTCAGTGTCTGTATGAAGGAACAGCAAAGCAGGAAAACCCAACACTCCTGAATGAGATCTACACAGAGCTCTACATCACAGAGAGTGGAAGTGGAGAGATCAATAATGAGCATGAGGTGAGACAGATTGAGACACAATCCAGGAGAGCAGAAACAGAGGACACACCGATCAAATGCAATGACATCTTTAGACCTTTACCTGGACAAGAAAAACCCATCAGAACTGTCCTGACAAAGGGAGTCGCTGGCATTGGAAAAACAGTCTCTGTGCAGAAGTTCATTGTGGACTGGGCTGAAGGATCAGAGAATCAGGACGTCCAGCTCATATTTCCACTTCCATTCAGAGAGATCAACTTGATGAAGGACAAAACACTCAGTCTTTCAGATCTTCTTCATCGCTTTTTCCCTGAAGCAAAAGGAAAGGAAATATCCAGTGATGAGTATAAAGTGCTGTTCATCTTTGATGGTCTGGATGAGTGTCGTCTGTCTCTGAACTTTAAGAGTGAAGTGAAACTGTGTGATATATCTGAATCAGCCTCAGTGGACGAGCTGCTGACGAACCTCATTGTGGGGAATCTGCTTCCCTCGTCTCTCATCTGGATCACCTCCAGACCAGCAGCAGCGGATCTCGTCCCCTCTGAGTGTGTCCATCGAGTGACAGAGGTACGAGGCTTCAGTGACACACAGAAGCAGGAATACTTCAGAAAGAGAATCAGGGATCAGAGTCTGGCCGACAGGATCATCTCACACCTGAAGTCCTCAAGGAGCCTCCACATCATGTGCCACATCCCAGTGTTCTGCTGGATCTCAGCCACTGTTCTAGAGAAGATGTGCAGTGGAGCAGAGAGAGGAGAGATTCCCAAGACTCTCACTCAAATGTACACACACTTCCTGATCATTCAGACCGACATCAAACATGAGAAGGACTATGAGAAGAAAGTGAAAGATGAAGACATGATCCTCAAACTGGGAAAACTGGCTTTCCAGCAGCTTGTAAAAGGCCACCTGATCTTCTATGAGGAAGACCTAAGAGAGTGTGGCATTGATGTGACAGAAGCATCGGTGTACTCAGGATTGTGCACTCAGATCTTCAGAGAGGAGTTGGGCTTGTATCAGGGGAAAGTCTTCTGCTTTGTTCATCTGAGCATCCAGGAACATCTAGCAGCTCTTTATGCACACATTTACTTTACAAACAAGAACATATATGTATTTGAACAAACCAAACAAAGTCTGTTGTCTAAGGTTTTAAACTGGTTGAAATCTCATTCATTATCAGGTCTGCATCAGAGAGCTGTGGACGAGGCTTTACAGAGTAAGAATGGACATCTGGACCTTTTCCTGCGTTTCCTTCTTGGACTCTCATTGGAGTTCAATCAGACTCTCTTACGAGAACTACTGACACAGACTGGCAGCTGCTCCTACAACAAAGAGGAAACAGTTCAGTACATCAAACAGAAGATCAGGGAGACTCACTCTCCAGAGAGATCCATCAATCTGTTCCACTGCCTGAATGAACTGGGTGATGATTCACTGATGCAGGAGATCCAACGTTGTCTGAAATCGGGAAAAATGGAAGGAACCAAACTCTCCTCTTCACAGTGGTTAGCTCTGGTTTATGTGTTGCTGACATCAGAGCAGAAGATGGATGTTTTTGATCTAAGAAAGTTTATTGGATCACAAAATATAGCAGATGAAGTTCTTCAGAAGCTGCTGCCTCTGGTAAAAGAATCCAGATCAGTTCAGTAAGTCACACTGACAACAAACACTACACTGATAAAACACGAGCACATTTATGATTTTAGCAGGTGCTTTCTAACCAAAGCGTGTGTGTGTGAGTGAGAGAGAGAGAGAGCTGGATGATTGTAGAGGTCAGTGTGTGAGACGTGATGAAGGATTAAATGTGACTGATCAAAACTGACAGCAACAGTGTCTTTAACAGTGTCTTTTTCTATATATTGATGCTGTTTGTCCTCTAATGATGTTTATGTGAATGTTTTACTGCCTCTATAAATCACATTTGTAGTTTACACTTTTTATTTTATGTTCGCAGCTGGTATCAGTTCACCATGTATCTTTAATCTCTACAGGTTGTGGAAGTGTGGTGTTACAGATGAAGGTTGTGTTGCTCTGGCTTCAGCTCTGAGATCAAACCCCTCACACCTGAGAGAACTGAATCTGTCTGATAATAAACTAGGAGACAGAGGAGTGAAGCTGCTCTCTGATGTACTGAAGGACCCTCACTGTAAACTGGAGATACTGGGGTAAGATTGTATAAATGTGTCAACATCCTCCATTTTTTTCATATGGTCAATAATGAACAAAAGAAACAAAAACAAGTAAATATAATTGACCCTTCGCTAAGCTCCGCCCTCCTTAGTTACTGTTGCTACGCCTGACAAGCTTTCGCGGCTGCCACGTCTATTACAGTGTGAATGCACCGGTGTCAGGCATTCCCAAGGAGATAATTAGTCAACAATTTATAAACAAGCCGGTGGCACTGCCACCCCGGTGCCTTTAGGGTTACTGTGCATGACGTGCAAAAACGTAACCCTGCTTTCACTGTCGCCCTACGGTCTCATGGATTTAACGGAGACATGAAATAAGTACACAAGACCGAAAATTCATATGAAGTGTACCATTTTGGACTGGGCCTATGATCGTGAATCACAATAGCCACATATATGAGCTAATTTAAATTAGAATAATTTTTAATGTCATAGGATGTCATAGGTCAATCTGTTTTGCAGCACTTAAATGTGTAAATCCAGAAGCCCAGTATTTATCTGGAGGTCTTTGCCCTTTGCCTGTCAACCTGGTTTGTCTCTGCCTTTTCTGTTCTGCCCTGTTTGCCATTGCTCACCCTGCCTGTCTTGACTTAATAAAAAGCTGCAAATGGATCCCCTTGGCCTGACCCTGCCTCGTTACAACACATATGCTGCATCTGCTCGCTATCTGCAGAACGGCTCTGGTGGTTCCGTTTCAGCACTGATGATGTTGTAGGAATAGTGTGCTCTGGTTGGTCTGTATTATTCGGGATTTTTTATTTTATACAGAAATAAGTTATTTATAATTTAGATGAGAATAAAGTTAGTGTTGATTAAAATGAAGGAAAACAAATATATTGATCTGAAATATAGCACATACATTTTAAATTAATTTAGGTTAAATTACCAAACATACAATCTTAATTTAATTTAAAGCAAACAATACATTTGTTTATATTTACAACACATTTTTATATACATTGTTACTAATTTGAAGGGCTCACAAATTAGTTACGTTGTATCTGTTGTTTATATTTGTTTCTATTTCGAGTTTAAGTTTACCAATGCCTTTATTCTTTTGGGTTCAAATAAAGACCCATTTTCAGTCCAAAGCTTGTGTTCCTTGTTTCTGACTTCTCGGCCCCTCACAGAGAGGGTTCAGGAATCAGCCATACAAGAAACGGCTGCCTTCCAAAAACTTCTCCCTCGCCAGACTCAGGAACTTCATGCCTGAAGTGAGGAACTTCAGACATGGTCCGCTGCAGCCGCATCCGCATTGGCGTTACGAAAATTAGAGTCCGGGCAGGAACAGAGAATTTATGGGTTATTGGTTCCGCCCGGACATACCATTCGCTGGGAGTTGCCCGGGGGAGGAAGAAACGTTAATGTCTTTATTAATTGATTTCTTTAATTATACATAATGTAGTTGTACATTTATGGTATTTGACTTCATGTTGCTTTCCTTATCTTTATTTACTATATCCGGGGTTGCTGAGCGGGAGCAGCCCCAAACTTTTAAAACCAGCTCCTCACACAGTGCCACACAAAAACAGAGCATTGCTTCCCGTGTTTTCCCCACAAAAAGTCTGGGGACACGGAAAGCACGCTCAACAGCAGTCCTCAAGGGATAAGACGGATCTGAGGACAGTCATTATTTCCAAGAAAGCTGCAAAGAAAAGGCCTGACGTCCGAGGGCGCAGGCCATCGAGGGCAGTTCCCCACCGAAGCAGAGCGGTTAACACCTCATTTTACGGTGCCCGTCTCCCTTCGGTGCCATTCGGGGGACCGTTATGCTAACCCTGCCACCTCGTGTGTTATAGGGCGCAGCGGTCTCCGGCGAGCACATATCTCAGGTGCCGCCCGGAAACGTAGTGGCCCTGGAATGCCCGCCCCCTTCGAGGAGGGTCCTAGAGCAGTCAGTTCAGTCGTTCCCTGCCGGTTCGCCGTTACAGGGCGACAGGCTGATTGCCCAGCAAAAGCTAAATCCAGAAACCAGTCTCGAGAGGGTGGTACCTTTAGTAGAATTCTTGGCAGTGCGAAGCTACTGCCAATTATTTCTCGTTGGGTCCTGCAGACCAAAAAGGTGCTTTCATCCCACCGTGGTGAGCCCCGAGCAGGTTCTGGTAATGGAACAAAAGGTAAAAAAATCCCATTGGACATAGGGGCCATAGAATATATACAGTACCTCCCTCCAGCAGGGACACTGGGGTTATACAGCCGGTATTTCATTGTTCCAGAGAACGATGGGTTGTATCCCATTTTGATTGTATTAGTTCTGTACGTTTCCGTCATGTAACTAAGGTTCAAAATGTTGAGACAAATCGTGCCACAGATCAGATCCGAGGACTGGTCTGTCACTAAAGATCTCAAGGACGCTTACATCCATGTGTCTATCCTTCCACAACACAGGTAGTTTCTGAGGTGCTAGTTCCTGAGGTGCGCTTTCGGGGGCGAAGTGTACCAATATCGAGTACTTCCGTTCGGCCTAGCTCTCTCTCTCCGAACATTTACGAAATGTATGGATGCAGCTCTGGCTCCGTACTCTAGGGCCATCCGCATTTTGAATTAAATCGACGATTGGTTGATCTTAGCTCAATCGGAGCATCTGGCGGGTCGGCATCGAGATGTCGTTCTCGCTCACGTCAAGAACTAGGCTTGAGGCTCAATGCCAAGAAAAGTGTGCTATCTCTGCTACAGAGGACCACTTTTCTGTAATCTGGGATTCGACGACGATGCAGGCAAGCCTGTCTCCTGCTCGTATCGCTTCGATCCTCACGGCCGTCAAACAAGCAAAGCTAGGCCACTCACTCACTGTAAAACAGTTTCAGAGACTGTTAGGTCTGATGGCAGCAGCGTCCAACGTTATACCTTGCGGCCTGCTGTACATGAGACCATTACAGTGGTGGCTCAGGGCCAAGGGGTTCTCCCCATGATCAGGGTCACGCGACGTTGTCTTCGCGCCCTGGCCATGTGGAAAGAACCTTGATTCCTATCCCATGGGCCCGTGCTGGGAGCTCCCTGTCGTTGTGTAATGCTAACGACGGATGCCTCCCTCACGGGCTGGGGGGGCGATCATGAGTGGTCGCCCTGCTCAGGGTCTGTGGCAGGACCATCATCTCTCGTGGCACATAAAATGTCTAGAAATGTTGGCAGTGTTTCAGGCTCTGAAACACTTCCTCCCAGACCTGAGAGGCCTCATGTTCTTGTCCGGTCAGACAACACATCGGTGGTCTCCTACATAAATCACCAGGGAGGTCAGCGTTCGCGCCCATTATACAAGCTGGCTCGCCAGATCCTTCTATGGTCCCAGTGGAAGCTTCTTTCATGGAGGTCGATTTATATCCCAGGGTATCTAAATCAGATATGGTAATTAGTCCAATTTGTCAAAAGAAACCGGCAAGAACATGGCTAAAGCAAGCAAGAAACGAAATTTCACTGAAAATGTCTTCTATGTGGATATATTGTAATATGTAATTTATTCCTGTGATCAGAGCTGAATTTTTAGCATCATTACTCTAGTCTTCAGTGTCACATGATCCTTCAGAAATCATTCTAATATGATGATTTGATGATCAAGAAACATTTTTGAGTTCTGCTTCATATTTTCGTGGAAACCGTGATATAGTATTTTCAGGATTCTTTAATGAATAAAAACTTAAATCAAACAGATATAGAAATCTTATAATCTTTTGTAACATTATAAATGAATTTACTCTCACTTTTAAACAAATTCAATGTGTCCTTGCTGAATAAAAATATTACTTTCTTTTTATCTTTACTGACCGAATTAATGAAGTTTATTTTTTATTCCTAGTTAAGCCAACGCTGCCATTGCTAGACGGGTTGTATTAATTTGGACATGCTTAATATATGTTCTTACTTAATTGCATAATAGAATATTATAATAAAACTCGTGTGACAATAATATGTCAAATAATTTATCAATTACAAATTATAAGCAATATCTGACAGCTGGTGGTGCGATAGAACAATTCGTAGTGTAATGTTTGCCACTTCACTTTATTGCCTCTATGAGTCGCCAACGGACAAAAATCACGACAAATGTACGTACGCCAGACATGAAGTTTACTTGGAGGAACGCACATTCTTACGTTAATTTCACTGTTAGTACATCTGGCCGTGAACGTGAAAGCTGACGTACGCCGTGTTTTTGTGCGTACGCAGTGTTGATACATGAGGCCCCAGGTGTCTCTCCTCGTCGGCTCTCCTCTGGAGATTCCACCCAGCGAACCTCTGCAGTCGGCTTCGCCTAAGGATCTTACGCTAAAAATGGTATTTCTCTTAGCTTTACCTCTCTTAAGAGGGTGGGAGATCTCCAAGCCCTGGCAGTGACACCAGCTTGCTTGGAGTTTGCCCCTGGCAGAGTTAAAGCCTTTTTGCACCCGAGTCCGGGCTACGTGCCAAAGGTTCCTATGAATACGCCTCGGTCCAAGGTCCTTCAGGCATTTCATCCTCCACCTCATGTGTCGGCAGAAGAAGAGAAGCTTAATTTGCTCTGCCCCGTCAGAGCTTTGAGCGTGTACCTCGAGAGGTCCTCTTCTTGGAGGAGGTCGGACCAATTATTTGTGTGTTTTGGGTCACCTAAGAAGGGACTCCCGGCATCCAAGCAAACTATTAGTAATTGGATTGTTCAGGGTATTACCTTGGCTTACAAGGTGCGCGACTTGCCTTCACCTTTAGCTGTTAGGGCTCATTCGACTAGAGGCATGGCGTCCTCTAGGGCCCTCCTTTCGGGAGTTCCTATCCAGGAGATCTGTGAGGCAGCCGGTTGGGCTACCCCACACACTTTTGTTAGGTTCTATAGTCTGCACCTCCCTAGTACGCCTGGTGCACATGTGCTCTCGTCCTAGCTGAGTGCCTGAATCAGTTTCACTCCGGGGCAGGCCAGTCTTCGGTGCGTGGCCTAGTGGGCATTCGTTCCCCAAAGTGTCGATACTACGACGCAGTGTCTCGTTCCCTTCTCAGGGAACAAGGGTTATAGTCATAACCCGAGACGTTTTAAGTGAGGCAAGGGATGCTCCCACAGTTTGCCTCTCCTCATGCAGCCGTTGAAGCATGTGAAAAGTGCTGTTCCAGCGTGTTTCCACTTCATTGATCAGTTTATGAACTGGCCTGTTCATCTCTTGCTGCACCTGGGTCAACATTTCTTTGGCAGAGGTGCTGCTTCGAAAATAGGTCACCACTTTTTTAGCTTTGTTCCGAATCTCACACAGAACTGGTACCTGATCAAAAGACTTTTTCAGCATGGTGTTAAGTGCATGTGCAATGCAAACTGAATGTCTCACTTGCAGAATTCTTGCACAAGCAATCATGTTTGGTGCTGCATCTGTGACAAGGCACTTCACTTTGTCGGTGATTGCCCACTCCATCATGAAACTCTTTTTCACCAGGGCCATATTTTCCACTGTGTGCCTGTTTGGGAACTTCTCAACATCCAACAACACTGTATTCAGCTTATAACTGTCATCGATGTAATGGCAGGATATTGCAAGATATGCATCCATGTTGATAGAAGTCCACATATCAGATGTTAGAGACACAGCTGTTGCTTTTTCCATGTTGGCCTTGGCCTTCTTCTTTTCTTCTGCATATTTTGAAGCCACCATTTTCTTTAAAAGCTTTTTGAGTTCCAAAAACATTTATAGTAAAGTTATATTATAGATAAAGATATTTTATATATATTATACATCAAAATTGACCTGTGCTATACTGCCCTACAAAGGCTAAGTGCAGTAACTACGCCACCATTGAAACTGAGAAAAATGCCTCTAAAGTTTTCATACTGGCCGGTCCAACATGTAGCAGGTCCAAAAGTGTTGATACTTTTAATTAATACCTTTTTAGGAAGGAAAATTATATATTTATAAAAAAAGACCAATGATATGACCTTTGACCCCAAAAATGTAGATACTGCACTCTGCCTTTGAATTACCTTGATCAACTAGAGCACTATTACAAAAGCAAAGTGCAGTATCTACAATTTAGATGTGTTCAGACTTCCACATTTTTGTATTCCTTATGTCTTTTAATCTGTTTTGTGGTTTGTTTATAGATGTTTATAATAGGTTGATAGTATTGAAATTGCTTGTAACCTTCAATAATAATTTTTTGTCCTAATGTCCCTGTCACATCGCAGTCCTAAACATTTTTTTGTAATCAACATTGTCATTTTTCCAAACATCCTTAACATTTTACACACAATCAATGGTATTTTGGTTTGTGGATTTTCATTTTAATAGAAAATTCATTCATTAAATACCAAAACAGAACAATAAACAGAACAGCCTAGATCTAACCGTTAATTATTAACGTCAAAATAAGTGACTGCCAATGTAATCATTGAGAGTAGAAGATATGAACGGAAAAAGTCGACTGATCTCGATGGTTATTTCGCAACCCATGACTTTCAGCTTGAACTTCATTGGCTATCAATTAAACAACGCGATATTTTACCTCAACCATGTGATGTAGCGTGTGTAATGAGAAGTAAACAACCAGGATAAAGTGACATTTAATTCAAGACCGTCCTTGCGGCTGCAGGTGCTACACGGCTCTCCTCAGGAGATCGGCTAGCACTAGAATGCTAAACTAACAGTGACTTTGCTCCAGTCGACTAACTAAATGTAATCTTGTTAACTTCACAACAATTGGACTAGCTGCCTGAAACGAAAATAGCTTAAGAAAAAATGAAGGCAAGAAACAGAACAGTGACGGGATCGTATTTGGATTATGACAGCATTTCCAGACTGGATAGATGTTACAGTCTTCAAGGGAGCAGGTAGGCTAAAATGGTTTAATATGCTAGCGGATCGCTATTAAACCGGCTTATGATAATTAATAGATTTATATGTTATTTGACTGGTTAGTTGTTCATATGTTATCCATCTTCCTACCGTTGTTTGGATACTTGCGTTTCAAAGCAAGTTCCACCATGGTTTTTCCTCGGGATTGTGCCATGATATTTGTGTCAGTTTTACCATATATTTCTAGCAGCTATCGTGTTTGTGGTGTGTGTGATGGAATGTTTTGGATGGGGCTACTAGGCAGACCGCAGTATCTGCGTCAAAGCCAGGTAAACACAGGCAGAACGTAGTATCTACACTTACTGCGGTTAGCCTCTGTATTAGGTTGGATTTCGTAGTTACTGCAAATTTGACATAGTGATTTCTCTAAAACGGGACCCAGTTGGACCAAGAGCTTTTGTCACAAGACAAAGGAGGTGTTATGAAGCCCATTTTCAGTCTAAACTCAATTTTGACCAAATATGTAGTTACTGCACTTTGCCTTTGTAGGGCAGTATACTCACATGTCTGGTTGGGATTATATAGGAAGGATCAAGGGCATGGATGAGGCCCCTGAAACCCTCATCCTCAACCACTGTAAATGGCTGTGAGTCTTTTATGACCATGTTGACCAGTGCCTCATCAACCATTTGTTTGCGAGATGCTATAATTAAAGAAGTTATATATACATATATTAATTGAAATCATGAAAATGCATTCACAATTATGAATAAAAATCATGAAGCAACAGTCCTACTTTCTGTGCTTGTATTGTTCTGGGGCTGTACAGTCTCATGTAAAGCTCTGAAATGCCTTAGTATGGATGATGTGCTGTTTTCATACACCAGCTCTTTGTCACACACCAAGCATCTCACCTTCTGAAAAAAGTTATATGAAATTAAGAAATGAAATACAACAAAAAAATAAGTACAATTTTAAATAATAAATAAATAAATATTTCATTTCTCTTCTTTTTTCTAAATGAGTACATACATTGGAAGCTGTAAGCTCAAAATGTTCCCAGATAGGGGAAGTCTTCCTTTTTTTGGCTGTTGCCATTGCTCTAATTACAAATCCTTCACCAAACACCAACACCCTATCCCCTCTCCCCTAAGCCCACCCTACTAACCCCAAATAACAATAATAATAATACCTAAAAAACACCAAAGTGCAAAGATTTTACAAAAACAAAATGACACAACAACAACAAAAAAGAAATAAAGTAGTTTTGGTAATTTAAATGTAGCCTAATGTATTGATTAACTTTCCAAGTACAGCACTCTCCTCACAAACCCGTCAACCAGACTGAGCCAACAAGGACTCGTTAAGTAAGATCTGGGGTTCGAGCCTTCTGACACCCAAAGCGAAACGCGCACGTGATTGGACAGAATGTGAGGCTTCATTTGTCATCGATCACGTGACTCTGGGAAACCAAAACACACCCCGATACGGGGCTTCAATAGAAATTGCGTCGCATTTGCGATACACACATCGGAGCTTCAGTGTCAAACGTAACATCACTACTTCATGCTTTAGACTGGACCTGTCAATCATGTCATGGATTAAGTCTCTGTTTCTGATTGTGAAGTTCCTGATTATCTAATCCTGAACTGAGAGATTGAAGAGTGTCATCGTTCTCTACAGGTTGAATTCGTGTGGTGTTACAGATGAAGCTTGTGTTGCTCTGGCTTCTGCTCTGAAATCAAACCCCTCACACCTGAGACAACTGGATCTGTCATTGAATAAACAAGGAAACAGAGGAGTGAAGCTGCTCTCTGATGTACTGAAGGATCCTCACTGTAAACTGGAGATACTGAGGTAAGATTGTATAAAGGTGTCAACATTAGGGGTGTAACGGTAAACAAACATGGCGGTTCGGTACATACCTCGGTATTGAAGTCACGGTTCGGTACGGGTTCGGTACAACAGGGGGGAGTAAACTAAATGTGAAATTGCTTTCTCTTTTTTTATTAAACAGTTTTTTCTTTTAAACAATATGTGTTTAAATAAATTCTATTATAATTAATATTTACAACAAGTTTTGTTACTGACAAGTCCAAAAGTAAAAACCCTCTGAAGACTTGCATATATATGATCCATTTGAGCACTTAATCTATGAATCAAACAGTCAAATCCCATAATAAACGCCGCACACTTGGCGAATAAAGCTGATTCTGAAGCTCAGTTATTTTTTCGGTGTTGAAGTAAATACGCGATGGGCATTTGCTTGCTTCGGCTATCACACCTACGGTCATGTCCTGAATAGGGTTACGCATGGCTCTAGTGGAATTATGCCAGTTTGAAATGGCACGGCTTTCATAAAACTTTTCTGTTTTATTTTAACTTAAAAATATTCCCGCGCCTCGTTTGTGTTTTGAGCGGCCATTTCTGTGCCTGACACGAAGAAAACACATCTGAGGTAAAATAAAAAGGTTCAGTTATTATTTTTCCAAGTGTTTTATTTTAATGTGATCTTTAAAATGGTTTCGAATATAAATATAACAAAGTTCCAGGCGCAGGGAAGAAAGGTGAACTGGAGAACGGTAAACGGGAGTTTTAAAATCAGTAAATCGAAAGTAAACGGCAGGTGCTTCATAGTCGACTGCCGCCCATTCATAGACAAAACACAATGTAAATGTCCAGGCCTGGTCTTCTCCTGTCTTCCACTGTCGTCACTCCTCCTCTTATCCTTCAGAGCTCCTGGGACTCCAGACGGTGCAGCGCTCAGTGACGTTCATTAAAGGGATAGTTCACCCAAAAATTACAATTAAATAAAATTTTCATTTTATGAAAATTAAAAGGGAACTATCCCTTTAACATTTGCTCCACTGGTCCCACTCCATTTCCAGGGCTCGCGCGCTGCTCTTCACAGAAACATTAAACTGACAGTAGTTTGAACGATTAAATCTTGTGTATTTTTTCTGTGTAATCTATTGTTTTCAGTGTCGACTAGTAGCAGCTGTACCGTTTAGTCGACTAGTCTTGCACATCCCTATTAAAAACCTCTTTTTCATAGGCTAGTTAACTTATGTTCACGTTTCCCTCATTCATGTGTTAGCGCTACCGTTAGGAGCCATGAAGTAGTGACGCTGGGAACAGGGTAATCTATTTAGAGCCTTATTTTCTTAATTTAAATATCAATATTTGGCGCCAGCACATTGATTATCGTATCGCACCAGCCCGTTCTCATCCCAAGGCATCATCTAACTGACGCTTTTGACCATGCGTCAACATGCCGACGCACATGGTACCCCTTAAGCGTCAATATGAGACGCGCCTCCTAGTGGTCTAACCCTAACCCTACCCCAGACCTAAACCTAAACCATAACGGAAACGTCATCTAACTGACGCTAAAGGGTGCCATGTGCGTCGGATTTAGACGCATGGTCAAAAGCGTCAGTTAGATCAGTGGTTTTCAAACCTGTCCTGGAGGACCCCCAACACTGCACGTTTTCTTTGTCTCCCGAATCAAACACAACTGATTCAACTCATCAGCTCATTAACCCATGTGATAATGTCCCTCCAGGACAGGTTTGAAAACCACTGAGTTAGATGACCCCCGAGGATGAGCGTCTCATATTGACGCTTAAGGGGTACCATGTGCATCGGCATGTTGACGCATGGTCAAAAGCGTCAGTTAGATGACGCCTTGGGATGAGAATGTGTTGATCGCACGGAGAAGAACAACAATATATAACCAGATCGATATTTAGTCCCACCGCTATAAGGAGCCCTTCATTACACATTACTATAATATTACATTTTACAATTAACAAGAGAGCCCAAATAATTCAATTCAGTTGCTATTTATTTTTAAATATAATAATCAATGCTCAAATAATAAAAAACATGTAAATTGCAAATAAGGCAGGTTCTGCATTAACTTCTAAATATAATTATGAAGGTAATTTTTTACTCCAATTAATTTTTGAAATATAATCATTTACACAGTGGCTTTCATAACTTGTTTTCATGACAAATTTATTTAAACATACATTAAATAATCAAAACACCACTAACAGGTTAAGTAAATATAATGAAAAGACTTATATAGTGCATATACGAAATGCTTCTCTCTAGAGTTCATTTCTCTAGCGAACTGCTGGAACCTGCTGTCAACACTAAATGCCTGAGGTTAATGTAATGCTACTGAGATGTGAGATATTATTCTCAAGATGTTGTTGTGGCTTTTCCTTTCCAACAAACATCATCACTGAGTAAGAGACACTCTGAGTCCAATTTAATAGTTTAAAAAGTATTTATTCTCTTGCAAGAGAGATCTTCGTCACCAATACACATTCGTGAGTCAGTGAGGAGAGATACAGAGAAGCAGTGTCTGTCTTTTTTATATCTTGCGTCCTCCAAGGCCTTATTTCTGCCCTCCCCTCACAGGAGAGATATACTTTGTTTTTTCCTATTTCTCCCTGGCCCTGAGAGGTAAATGCCCCCTTAACCCTTTAGGCTATAACGTACAAATGCACTCAAGATGACCCCTTGACCACCTGCTTTTCCTTACCTCCACTGACTCCCAACCACAGTAAATTATCACCCAAAGGCCCCCTCTCACTACATTCGTGAGAACAGATGAGGCCATCATTAGGAATCACTGAAATCAGAGTAATAATAGAAAAATTACATAACAACTCCTCTCTGTTTATCATACTCTGATAACTGATTAATCAAACATTGTAATAATAGTAATAATAAATGCAAGTTCAAGTCATTACAAATCACTCTCCTTGAACCTGTGAAGAAAAAGTTTAGAATGAAGAAGCATAAGGCTGTTTTTTTGTGGGGGAAAGCCCCATAATTATTTAGCAAGCAAGTAAACATTTTTACTGGGCCGGGCTAAACGAGGAATCAGTGTTCCTGCGTTCCTGCAAGCAGACCCTCAGTCACACCAGTAAGGAATAAATAGTTATAACACAGTAAGAAAACAAACAGATAAAAGTGTAATAAAAATCCCTCAGTTTCAAACCCTGTCCTTGTACGCCACCTCGTAACACGGATGACCGCTGCTTGTAACCTTCTTTAAATCTTTTGCCCTTAATCTTTCTCAGAAAATAAACAAATTGAAGAAAAACAAACAGAACATACATTTTACACATATCTCACTGTAGCTCCCGCTAACTGTATCGTCGCATCATTTTGTTCATCCTTGGGACAGACTGTCATTTTCACCAATTGAACAGACAGCAGGTTTTCACCTGTCTCTGTAATCATATTCACCCATGAATAACAAAATTATCAGAATAACACACACAATCCTAACTCCTATCATTAAGCCTTTTCCATTAATCTACACCCATCTCCATATTTCATTCACTTCTAATTCAATTTAGTAAGCTCTATTGAACGCACTGTTTAACAAATCTAACCAGAGAAGTCTTATAATTTTTTCCATTCCTCTAACCAAATTAGTTGTTCAAAATTAACTCTAATATCTCCATTACGGTCCGTCTTTTTTGCTTGTTACACATAAATTAATAGATTTTCTACATTTGCACCAATCAAATCAATACCTAGGTTGATTCAAACAAAATCATCAAAATCATCACAAAAACAGATTCTTCTGTTAAACTTAAACCATCAGTTGGCAGTTGGTTCCTCCAGGTGTGTTGATCATCTCGTTCGCCCCACGGACGTTCCGTGTTCGCCAGGGTGACACTTTGCGTGCCGTAGCCATGGTCTTTCCCTCGTTGGTTCGGGAGGTACGTTACTAGCACGTCCTTGAATCCCTCACTTTGTGCTCTATTGGATGGTTGAGGCCTGTTGGTGTTGTCTAAGGTGAGAGGCTTGGACCCAGGTGACACATTCTCCAACCATTTTCTGATCCTTATAAGGTTTTCCCTTAAATCACAACCGCACCCCCACTGGAATGAACCATTTCTTGCCTGCTTTCACCTGTGAATGGAGACCTTAAGTATTTTGTTAGTGACCGCTTGTCTAGTCGCTCGTCCCTTTTGGTGTGACCTGTGGATTCAACAACCTGAAACATTATCACCGGATAATTTCTTGCTCACTTAATAGCACTCGGGGTCCTTTTACCCTGAAAAACACTCAACCCACTTTGCTCATGTCCACAACAGAATATTTATACATTTGAAACAGAATTAGTTCTGTTTGATCCAATCCATCCTGACATTCTGTAAAAGGAAAATTTAAGTTATGCGCAGCGCAGGTGTGGCCTTGTTTCTTTCTGCCACAATAACAATCCAGGCCAGGATAGTTCGTCAAATTCATCCATAACCATTATTTTATAGGGGACATTCTGCCCTGAATTAAAAGTCTGCATGCTCTGTAAAGAAAAGCAAATGTCGAGGCTATTTTCAGATAGTAAAGTACACATAGTTTCTTTTGTCTGCTGTGCTGCTGCGGCCTTCGCTGCTGCATCTGCCCTGGCGTCTCCTGCAATTTTGTTATCAGCGTGTGCGGCACACTTACAGACAGCAATATTGCCCCACCTGTGCAATGGCTTTCAGCAAATGTGAACCCCTTAGTAAACCATATTTGGCAATTGTTACCATCCCCCTTTTGATGCAATGACCCCGCTCATTCATCAATTTAAATAAATCTGATTTGCCATCAACACTAACCCAAACGGCGTCCTTCAGCCAAATTTTGCCCAGACATCTTTCTCTTCTTTTATCTCAGCCCATGCCAGATGGTGATCTACAACTACACAATTCCAATTTACTTAAACTGATCTTCAAATCTATGTATGACAAAAGTATTACTACCAGACAGAGCTTGATGACCAATCAACTTAAAGCTCGTCCCATGTTCTATATCATCTTTTCATCGGATCCACTCAGAAT